CCCCGAGAGTCTACGACATCTTCCAGATGGTCAGCGAGGCCGTGAGGACACCAGCGGCGAAGATGGTGATGGTCTGCCAGGTGGGGGTCCCGAAGTGGGACAAGAGCCCTTCCTGGGAGGAGGGGACACAGGAGGGCAAAGGTCACCACATGTTGGGGGTTCCCAAACCTCCCTCCAGAACAACCACACGCAGAGGAATTGGGAAAGAGAGGACAGAGAAGAGGATTTAGGGTAAAAGGGGATGCTGGGGAGGGGAAATTCCCAAACAAGGGCTCACCCCCACAAGGAATGGCTGGGTTTGGGGTGTTAGGGAGGGGTCAGGGGCTTGGGCCCCTGAGGAATTGGGGGGTTAGGGGCCTCACCCATCCGCCCTGGGCCTGGATCCAGGCCAGCACGTGTTCCTGGACATACTCCATGGTCCAGCGCAGGATAGTCTGGACCAGCTCCGGGACCTTGGTGCAGAGAGCCTGTTGGGAGCAGGGAGAGGTCAGAGGGGGCTAAGGGGGACCAGAGAAGGCCACTGGGGAGCTCCACACCCACCTTCAGCACCAGTTTGCACGCAAAGTAGAACAGGGCAACCACACGGCCCCAGTTGAAGGTGCCATCGGCGAACATCTCCTTGGCCACACGGAAAAACAGCTTTTTGGGGGCATCACACCCCACCTGCTCAATCATCCTGGGGCAAGAGACGGTGGGAACGGTCAGGGCAGGCTTGGGGACACCACAGACACCCCCAAGAAGTGGCAGCTGCCCACCTCTGCAGCTCCATGTTGCTGTCGAGCTCGTCGCCGATGCGCCGCAGGCACTCACTGAGGCGTTTGGTGTCAGGGCTGCTGGGCTGGGTCTCACCCAGCTCGGCAACACTCAGGGCCACGGCCTGGGGGTCCCCGCAGCGCTCCACACGGTCCCGCACGAACCTGGGACCCCCAGAACTCTGGGTACTCACTGTGTCCTCCTGTGGCTCTGTGTATCCCCTTTCCCTGTGTCCCACCTGGAGCCCAAGTCCTTCCCACCAGTGTCATGCCTGGAGCTTAGGTGCCCCCAGGTCCCAGATGGACCCAAAATTCCAGGATCCTCTCAAGTCCCCCCTAATGTCCCACTCCTAATGGACCCCCAAGTCCTCCCTGTGCCCTGTGTCTCGCTGGGATCCTCTCAAGCCCCCCCACATCCACTAATTCCCCATTCACTCGCAAGTTCCCCCTTGCACACACCGTGTCCCCCCAGTTCTGCATCCTCCCAAGCCCCACCAAGTTTTGAGTCCCCCCCCTGCATCCCGTGTCCGCCCAGAATCCTCACAAGTCCCCCAGGTCCCTCCCAAGTGCCCCCATGTCCCCCTGCGGCCCCAAATCCTGGGATTCTCTCACGCCTCCCCAGTTCACCCCAAGTCCCCCCGCCGCACTCTGTGTCCCCCCAGATCCACACACTCTCGAGTCCCCCCAGGTCCCCTCTGCATCCCAAGTCCCCCCCGCAGTCCCAAGTCTCCCTGCACCCTGTGTCCCCCAAGTC